AACTATATGATGAAAGAATTTCTGTAGGAAAAAAATGTCAATAGATGAATTTGATTCCTTTTAAAGGAACATATTAAAGAAATCCACTCTTGGCCAAATGCAAGAAAAATTTGACTTCTCTCTTGAAGAGTTTATCTATTCATTTGATTGCCTTTTCTAAGTGAGTTGTAATTAGAGCTAGTCCTCTTCTAACCCTTGTGCTAATGAGTCTTTGCTCACTTCTATTAGTGACAATGCATTGTATTTTAATAAGGAACCCCTGGCCTGGCACGGCAGGGCCCAAAGATAAGGGGAAGGAGAGCAAAAGGAAGTGTAAAGAAGTGGGATCAGCAGGAGGTCCCCTTCTTGGCACTGGGCTCCACAGGAAGGCAATGGCTAACTTTGCCTTAGAACTGTCATTTGTATTAACTTCTAACCCATCACCTTCCCTGGTAGGCTAGCTTTACTCAATGAAGCGGGATAGATCCTTGGTTTGGCCTCTCTATCCCCTGTTTCAGCAAACTGAATACAACACAAAAAGTTCACAGGGGAAGCATTTGGGAGATGGTGTTAAGGACAGGGTCAAAAAGAGCTTTTAACTCATCTTAACATTACTGTCCTTTTCCATTTCAACTTTTATCTGCCCATCAAGGCTTTTGGTTTGCTCACTCATGCATTGCTAAAAAAAAACCGACAAAACACAATAAACCTCCAAATGGAAATTATATGTTTTGAGATAGATATGCAACACTCTGGTCTGCACATTTGTTTGTGTTTTTTCTCTCTGTATGTTTTGTTGATTTTTTTTTCTGCTAATTGATTCCTGGTCAGATCAGAATTCTTTGATTCCACGTTTGTGTATGCTGATGCAAATTGGGGTAATTTCTTTGACATTCGGTAAAGTTAGCAGGCAAAAGAGAATCAAGCCTTTTGTATCTTTTGTATAACAGTCTTACATCTCAACCAGAAAAATCTTTTCTAACCAAGCCTTTGTAGAGATACTGGAGGCTGCTAGAACGTGACAGATAAACAGCTCCCTGAATGGCAGAAGGTAGAAAAGCTTTATGCCTTTTTGCTAAGTTCCTATCGATAGCTTCCCAGAAGCCCTAAGCAGAATATATTTCTTACTATTAGTCCTTTCAGAGCCTGCCTTGGGATCTCTAGGGACACGATTCTGTTCTGCTTCAAATTCCAGAAGATTGTTCACATGTCAGTGAAGTGAATGCAATACTTTACCATTTTCACTGTTTGTTATCCACCTTCTATGCATATCTGTAAATGCCTTTACCAAAATATAAAGCATGAAGTAATCAAGCCAAAAGCCCTCCATGAAATACTGAGACATGTATCAGATGTTATTTAACCCTTTAAATAACATGGCATGCTCAGTCAGTGTCCTTTCTGGTGGGACATACATTACTGAAGCAGATACTGTATGGTGATGGAGTTGAACAAAAGGCATGGCACCTATTTAGTCTACTGATATTGCAGACAAGTAGGATTTATAAAGATACGAGATATGAGTTTGTTTATGTTACAACTCAAGCTCACAGAAAGGTCATTAGTTGAAAGAAAACTGGTATTTAAGTTCTGCGCCTGCCTTGTGTGGACATGACAGGGACCAGTATGTCTCTAGGTACATTTATCACAGGCCTCCAAGGTATTCCGGTAAGCTTTGTGAGTTCATCTACACAATGAACCTGCTTTATCTGCCCTGGCATTGGTTGTGTCACCACAGAAACCTATGCTCACTTTAGAAACTGGGATTTTTTGTGTGTGTGGATGGTTTCCTTAGGTATGATTTCAGATGGCTGGAACAAAGCTTCTTTAGTGACCAAGTAACTGGGTTGTCTTTCTAAATATCACCTGGCTGCCAGGATCAAAGGCTGTTGCAAAACATGCTCCTTAAGATCAAGCGTATTTTCAATCCTAGAATCTTTTCCTTGCCCAGCTGACTAGCAAGCAATTCAGGGCCTTCACCATTACCTAGAACAACCCTTTACTGTTGTCCCAGCATACTGTCCTTCCCTGAGCACCAGTATGAGTCTTCCAAGAGGAGTTTCAGGGTTGGTATTTGTGTAGGGCATGAGAAAAAGCAGACAATCTTGGGCTAGAGAATTTCCACAGGCAAAAAATATGTATTTTACTGGCTCATCCGAACATGTTGAGGTGTTTTGAACTTCTCCTGTTGTCAGTAGCCAGCTCACAGAGTTCCTTTTCCTTGGTTGTGCTAGCGACCTGTTGTGCCAGCAACCTGAAACTGGCAGTGTGTGCTCTCTGACTGGAAGGTGGGCATACTGTAGGATCGTAAATGCCTTAACAGAAGTGTTAGTATGTAACATAGACCTGATGCTGGTGTGCACAGCTCTCCTGTCCATTCTGATACCTCCCCAGTTCTCTGTCACATTTTCCATCTCCATTCCTCTAGACACCACTAAGTCTATCCTGGAAGACAAACCGCTATATCTCTGGCTGTACCATGGCCATTTTTCCCATAGAGTCCAGGTTCCATAAGGAATAGAGGGTGCAATGGATACTGGACAGATGGCAATGTCATGAAGGAGGTTTGTAGAGGAAGAAGGTAAAGAAAAATAGAGAGAAAATGAGACAACAGATTGTACAACAAACTGTATTTTATCCATGGCTGTAATAGAAAACTCTTTTATGTTACTTGCACATAAACAAAACACCAGTATTTCATGTGGTTTTATTTTCTGTTGTTGTTTAATTGTCTTTAAATTATTTTTTCTACTGTATCTAGGCCAGTTACACAGAAGTCAGAAGTAATCAGAAGTGGCAAAATATTATGGCTATATAGTAGCAGTGAATCTATAATAATGCTGCACTCTTCATTACTGTGGACTCTGTTTTTTACATCCTTGCCCCCAGTGATTTTCTTTAACATTCTCTTTGTCTTGCAGCTGAGGAAGACATAAGAATTTCCAAAAATATTTAGATGTTGGTCTAATGGCAGAACAAAGTTTAACTCATTTAACATCTTAGTGAAATTATCAGACCTCACTTATTGGTCACATAGGTGTCTCTTAAGTAAACAGGGAAAGCAAGTGTCTAAAAAGGGGTCAGAATTAGCTATCCAAGCACTGAGATAAATAGAGTACATAGTTAACACACTGAAGCAATTGTTCTGACCACTTACTGATTCACAAAATAATTCTGTACGTACTTTTGCTTCACTGACTTGCAAGACTGAATATCTTCTGCAATTGCAGGTGCAATGAAATCTTGCCTTTTGGTGGAAGGCTGGGCAGATAAATTAAAAAGTAAGGAAATAATTATTTATTTCTTTTTATGGCTTTATCAACTGATCTTTCCAACAGGCTAGAAATAGGTTCCTATCCCCTTCATGCCCCTCCACCCTGCTTCCTCCACTCCCATTCCACTAGGCTCTTGAACTATGAACTTAATGCTAGAGCTGGATACCCAAGACATACCAGCTATTTTTTCTTTGCTATCTGCTTTAGACCATATCTTTTTGCTCTGGTGAGTTATTTAAAGTCCTTGATACAGCTCAGTTTACTACCTTTGTGTTTAGAGATTATATCAATGTTAATGTCCATGTGTGGTGTCTCAGTTACCGACTGGTTGAAAGCACAGTTCAGACATAAAGTCTCACAGTTCAGGATCATAAAGTGACTGTAGAGAATGAGAATTTCATTAACTATAGAAAAAACAGCACAGTCATAGTCAGGCTATAGTCCTCATCCTTTATTGTCTTTGTCCCAAAAAAGAGGACTCATGAGTTGAGGAGAAGACTGCCTGCAGCATTGGCATAGGGGTATCGCAAGGAGGGCTCTTTCCCTACCTCTTGCTGTATTAGGGACATTCCTGTTAGTGAGTGTGACATGCTTAATTCTATCAAGATTTCTATAAAATGTCTTTTTGTTAAGAAAAAATGCTTTCTGATTTCTAGCAAGATAAAATACCCCAACTACTTACATAGGAGCAAAACTAACTAACCCTGATGTTTCTTTCTTTACTTTTTGTTACATACCTGAATGCTGATCATGTCCTAAATATTATACAATATTTTCTAAAGATTTTCAGTTCTTTAAAAAATGGATTTTGTGTTGAAGACAAGATAATGCTTTGTAATTACAAAATATACTTTTATACTCCTGTACTCAAAAGACTTGCCAAAAGATAGAAGTGTTTATCTTTGTGACAACTACTGCCCAAATTGGGAAGAGTGTGTTACTCACATATGTATATTTAGATCAAGAATAATCAACCATTTGCTCTTTTGAAGTCCTTTACACTTTTCATGCTGCTTACAAAATCAGAGATTTCAGTCCCCAGAACTCATATTTTATGAGTACATGAAATCTCAATTCTTTATTCTCATTAGCTAAGTACAGGATAAGAAGTATTTTTAGAAAATAATATCCTAATTAATGTCTGATTGCAAAAGCACAAAAATATGTTACACACAAAAGTCTATTAATTTTAGACTAATATCTCTAAGACTTTTTTCAATTAAAGTGCCACAGCTGTACTTTTGTATTACCATCTGTGTAACATTGTATTAAAAAGTTACAGCATATGAAAATGTTAATTATTTACATGATAAAAAATACAGTGTGACAGTGAGGACATATGTTAATTTTGATGATCCTTCATATACCACTGAGTTTAAAGTACTGTAGAAGATTCTCTAATGAAAAGATTGTGGGGATATTATTTTTTTTTTATCCTTTAACTTCTATTTTAGAATTTGCCTCCTCAGTGGCTAATATATGCTGTAGTCTAATGTATCTGCTTACCACATTTTCATTTTGGAGTATCACTAAAACCTGAATCTGCTAAATGCATAATTATCAAGTTATGAGAATTTATCATTTTACTTTGTTTTCTGTTGTTGAAATAAACAAGATAATTACTGTTGTTTAGTTCAAAAACTGGCAAGCAAGCTGCAAAGTCTTTATCATCAAAGGCTTCTTGCCCTTAGGTCAAAATTGTGTGCTTTCTTAAGTATGTTTTTTGTAACACTTGTTCTTTTTCAGAAAGAAGGAATAAGGTAATAATGAAGATGTCTGAAAAATCATTTATCAGACTACAAGTCTCCTGGTGTGTTGAACAAGGAAGAAATCATGGAGGTAACTTCTGCTCCAATGGATCCCAGATCCAAAATCTTCTTTGTAAACAGAGCCTTTCATTTAGTACAACTGGATCATAAAGTGACAAGTTTTCCCCTAGAATTTAGCCTAAAGCTTCTTCTGGTCAGATTAACTCTGTTGTATTCAGCTGCAGACCTGGATTAACCCCTAAGAAGCTTTGTATTGTTTCTCTTCATTGCATATATCCCTATGTCTCCTATTATCTCTTTTTTACATCAGACAAAGTGATACAAACGTTAATCCATGATAAGCTTTTTTTTTTTTTTTTAGTTTTGCATCTCTGTTAAGACTTCTTCTTTGACAGTTTTTTCCCCTTTAATGTAAACAGCCCATCCAAATAGAAAACTTTGTCAATAGACTTTGCTAACCTGAAACACAGAGGAGATAGTTAGCAGAAGTGTCCTTTTTGCAAGGACAAAGATGTCAGTGCTAAGTCCATTGTCCGTTATTGTTGTCACTGTTGAGTGCAAATTGAAAACACACACATATATATGTATGTGATACATGCATAAGACACACAGTTCTTGTGATAAATCTACTACCAGGCTGTATTTTTTTCAGTGAAAAACTGACTGTTGTGAAGTTTTCTCAATGTAAAAGTATTGTTATTGTTACTTTTTAAAAGCTTTTTCAAAGCTGCATTTAAAAACTGCTATTTCTCTGGTGCAACTGACAGGAGGAACTAGACAGGAGCCCTGATGAAAGTGGAATCTAGAGTAAGGAAGAGAATGGCATCACTTACATACCTACCTATCTACCTGCTTACTATGAAAACCAGAAATAATATAGCATAGATCATATATTTGATTGGGATATTACAGCTCTGGTCAGTGATGATTTATATAACAACTTGCTCCCATATTGCTAATATTCTATGGTGCTATAATATGACATATTAGCAAATCTATCACTTTTTCAAAAACTAGCAAAGATCCAAGGAGGCTTCACTGGTCTCATCACATGAGTTTTGCTGAGGTCTCTACAAAGCTGTGTTCTACATGGGGTAGGGTTAGGGCTAAACAGAGATAATCCTGTCAGGACTTTAAGATGTTTTGAGAAACTCAAACCAGGGCACAGTACAGAAGATTATCCCCTGGCCTTTCACCTCCAAGGCAAGTAGACATGGTATTGAGAGATGTAGCTTTTAAAAGGCATATATTAAAAGTTTCTAAACTGACTTGTATTAGCCCTACTCTTGCAAATTTTCTTCAACCTTTGGATGGCAACATTATGCACCTGGCACAGACAGCCTGTACTTTTTTACCCCACATAACTTTGTACCATCACTTGTCACAGTGGTTTATTTTTTCTGATATTTTCAAAATGGCTTTTGTTTAGCACTGTTTTGCTTTTACATTAAAATTCTTTCACATTTTCTTTTTTTTTTTTTTTAAAAAAAAAAGAAAGGAAAAAGGGGGAACTATTTCGTTTTTCAGATTTTGTATTTTAGAAATGAAAATAAACTGTTTGGGAGCACTGGGAGGAGTAGACTTTCCGTTTTTTGTTGATTTTTTTTTTCCCAGAACTCTGGTTTTGACCAAAAGTATTTTGTCAGAAATTTTTAAACTATCAGAAGTTCTTAGTTTGAGTATATTAAAAGTCTTCAGAAAGAATATCTCTAGAGATCAATCCCAGGATGGTTCTTCTGAAGTCCAAAATGCAAGATTGTAATGTCTCCTGCTCTTGTCAACTCAAATTCTATATATTGTCATTAGGTCTTTTTTATCATTTCTAAACCACTTCCGGAAACTCTGGAACTCAATAAGTACATGACATAGATGACTGAACACACAACTTACAGAAGCAGGGCATGTTAAACAGGGACAAAATTCCTATTTTCTATCAGACTTGTGAATTCTGCCTTGACTAGTCCTCCAACGTAGTCCACTCTCTTAACCAGTTCTATTCAGGGACATCAGAAGACCTTGGGGTCTTCAATAAGAGTTTATGTATGGAGAAGTCTAACTATGAAGCATATTTCTGCCTGAGGTCTGGAAAGATCATCCTGAATAGCAAGGAGGGTAGACTGAACACATCCAGAAAACAGATAGTGACAAGGTGAAGTTGTTATCATTGACAGACCAGTGGAGAATAAGATGAAGGTAGATCAGTAGGGAGAGGTAAAATTGTACAAGCTTTTGATAGTAACAGTGGTAAGTCTAGCATAGTGGAAAGAAAAAACTGTGACACCCTTTCAAGGAGATGGGTGTGCTGCCCAGCTGATAACCTGATCTCAGCATGGACTGAGTTGAGAAATACTTACCTTAGGAAGAACATGGTGCTGCAGACATCAAGGTGTGACATGGTGATTGTTTCAACTGCAAATGGCAGGGTGGAAAAAATCATTATAGAGATGCTAAGAAAAAGAAAAGTAGCTGTATTTGGCTGACACATGTAATCCTTTCAGGTGTGACATTCTTATAACAAAAATGTGTGAAAAATCGTGTCTTTCCTTCAAAGAAATTTTTTTGTTTGGCAACAAGCTCTCCTGTCATTTTCATGTGAACTACAAAGGAATTAAATAACTATGCAAATTTATGAAGCTGCCTCAAAGGAATGAATGTTTCTGTGCTGCAGCTTGCACCTCTTTACAGAAATTACAGTACTGCTGTACTTCATTTCTTTTCAAGTGTTGTGCTAATCATCTCGATAATAGGGTTTTCCTGAACTGCTTTGATAACAATAGCAAGCAGCTGTCAAAATTTAATATGTCAAAAATAAATAAAAATAAATTGATGAAAAGAAACACCCAAAATTAAAGGCTGCCAGATACAATTCTATAGAGACTGCCTCAAAAAATTCCTAACCCTTGGACTGTTAGAAACTGTGATGAAAAGGAAAGGATTTTGTTATCCTAAACACGATATTTTCTACTAGTGGTCACTATTGGAGACAGAATAACTAAGCCATTGATATGATCCAGTTTTGTTGCTCTAACTTTCTTACTCAAAAATGTGGCATTAAATGCATGTTTTAAAACATCCAACAGCTGGTTTGGTCACCTAAAGCAGTATATGTATTGAGTGAATTCATTTTGCAATATGCCTGTGTTCTACAGTCTCTTACTTCTGTTATTGATTGCTGTATTTGTAAAATGATCATGTGCGACTGTAAAATTAACATTGATAATTTTACAAGTTGAATATTAAAGTAATTTTCCAATGTGTCCAGCACTTTTGACCTGATCCACTTTGATTTATGTTCAACCTGGAGTATGTGCAAGTTATATTGCTTTTCCACAATAGGACTTCTCAAGATCTCAGTGTTCTAAAAGACCTTGCTTTGTTGAACCAGCGGCCCAGGTCATCTTTGTTTACAAGTCAAATTAAAGTGTAAAGATTAAGCATTTTGTTGGATTAGTGACTAGAATGCAACCATTTTACACAATAAATCTTCCAGTTAGCATGGTATGTGTGGTAAACAAGCTTTCAAAACTAGATGTATTAAAGATATAATTATTCCCAAGCTTGTTACTGACATCACCAAATATCCAGATCCTTCTGAATTTCAATGTTGTGAAACATACACGTGGAACAGCATTCAGAAATGTCCCACAGGGCTAAAAGCACCATTTTTGAAAATGAAGGTTCCTATCACTAGGTCAGTTACATAAAATTAAAGTTACATACATGTGACTTGGAGAAAATCTATGGAAAATTAAAGGAAATGTATGTTCATCCTCTCAAGTGAATTAATGTTTCTGGAAGATTTCTCTGAGACACTGAGAGCACTTAGTTCCCACTGAAATAACTGCTGAAGAAGGAACAATTTCTTTAACAAAATACTGAATGAAATTCTATTTTAAAGACATACGTTTTGGAGGCCTTTGAAGATCCTTTGGAAATGTGTGAAAATCAACTGTAATAGGTGTTATAGTAAAGGGTGTAGAATTGTATATATAATATTATATATATATACTTCTATAGTATAAAAGCACTGATCTTTTTTCTTGTTAATCTCATTAAAATATGGAACATATTGCTCATAATGATGGAGTAGTTCCCAGTGAAGTTTTTTTTATGACACGATGTTTCTTATAATGTTATTTAAAACTATACAGTTTCCTTTAAACAGTTCAGGATTTGTCTATAAAGTGAAAGTTTGTCCCCGAGTTAATTGCTATTTTTTCAGCTATATTCCTATCTGTGTGTAGCTTTCCTTAGCCCTTTGTGAATTTCATAATTATTTACATGTGAAAAGTAACAGAAACAATATGCTTGATCTTATCTACTATTCATCTTGCCTTCCACCCTTTTCCTTCTCCTTCACCCAGAAAAGTGACTCCAGAAAGAAAGCTTCTGTTCTCTTATACCATCATTAACTGCACTCATAATTAGATGAAAAATAGTGTCTTTCAGGAAGAAGTGTAGATGTTTCCACACAAGAAACAGATCACGTTCATGACCTATAAAAGACTAAAAAGCAGATTTCTGTTAGAGCTCATCATTTAGTTGTTCTTTGCACACATCTGTCTTTCGTTGGATGCATTATATCCAGGCAGTGGACATTAATCTGTAGTATGCACTTCTGGTCTTTGCAGTAGTTACTGCTTTGTAAATTTACAGTAAACATAAATAGCAGACCCTAAGCAAACATGAAAGGTGTCTTACTCAATTCAGTGGTGGACATTAAAAGCAGAAGAATTCAACATCTCTCATCCAGTTGGTAACAAAAGAGGAATTCCAGGGCCACTAAGGGAAAATTAATCTGAATTATTTTAGTTTTACAAAAAGAGACTGTGCCAGTCTCCTATTTTGAAATTCCTAAAGCTCATCTACATTGAAAACAGTCTCACAAGAGATGCAATAGATGAGAAAAAGACCCACTATTTTGGGTAGAAGAAACGGTTCAGACAGAGAAGATTACTCTTGATTGTGAAAATTACATGGTAACATGTTTCTTGTCTGTAAATCAGCACAGAAAAGTAAAATCATGTGAATAGCAGAACACCATACCATTCTCCCATATTGCGGTAAATA